ATTTATAAATTTGCATTCTAGAAAAAGCTGTGAAAGAACTGAGAGTGGGAGAATTTTGAATATATGTATTTCCCTTGCTTCAGTTCTTTTCAAATAATTGACTACTTATGAAAAGCTTGGCCAGAAAAAAGTATTCTCAATAATTTTCCAAATTAGATTTAACCTTCTTTACATGGTCAAGAAACTACAAAATTATATATGAATTCTTGCCGCTTAAAATTCAGGATACATTTTCTCTGAAGCGTTTGCTTAGGTTATTAGAGAGTCAATATAAAATAATGTTCTTGTACTAGTGTTGGGAATTAAAAATGTGTTTGAACTGAGTAAGGACTTATGTGAATGTTCTGTGCTAGAATGATGGGGTATTGTGATCCATTTGAGTCTGTGTTTATTCCCAAGAGCGAATAAAATAAATGGCCAGGTTTTATACTTGATGTAATTATTTGTATTTCAGTGGGTATTTCCCCACTGGAAGGCAAAGCAAGTTCTGTGTGATCTTGGCATTAGTGAATTTTAGAGCTAACTACATAAATGTGTAATGCACTGTTTTAATCTTTTAACGTTGGAGTTGTTTTTATGCCATTGGTTTCATTCAAGCTCTATCAAAGCTGGGTCACTTGATAGAAAGAGGGACAACTAAATTAAGATATGCTTGCCCAGAGATGTTAAAATGTAAAATGTTTTGAGGAAAACCTCAACGTCAAATGTAGTTTCTTAAGTATAGAAGTTCTTTTCTCATGGTCTTTAAGACTATAGAGATTTCACAGGTACACGAATACCTTCCATATGTGCTCAGTTACCTTAGAGATGTTAAAATTGGGGCACACAAAGAAAAGACCTCAGCAATCAGAGGCTTTAAAGTGAGACCTGAACCATCAGAGGATTTAAAGCTTTAGCTTACAAAATTTTATTTTACAGCAATCACAATCTTCCAATGATGTTTAAGCTGGATGAGTAGGATATTATTGCTGAAGTTATCACTAATAATTCAGAGGAAGGTTTGTGTCATACCCTATTTTAGGACACAATTTTGAAGTATTTATACATTCAGACTGACAGTATGAAAAATATAAGTTTTACCTAGAAGATTTCTAACAGTAGCAAATTGACAGTAGTACGTTATCCTTAATTGACCTAAGGTTATAAATATATGTTTGAAGAGATACATATCATCATTTTATTTAGGATTTGGACATTTTAAGAGATGCATGCCAGTGCCCCCAGAAATCTATCATAGACTTGTTTTACAAGAGTCACAACATACATGCAAATGTGTCTTCCCTGTTGGAGTCTCATTGAATATGTGGAAGGAGAACTTCATCTCAAAAGGACCATTGAAATGAAAACTAAATGGTATGACAAAGTCCTTCCAGAAAATAAACCCCTTTGGATGGAATCAAAAATGGATCTATATCATACTTGATTACATACCACAGAAGATCAAGTTATGCTGAAGCTTCATGTTTACTTTAAATAACAAGATGTAATCCTAAAACAATCCCCTTGTATTGTATCCATTTTATCCATAGTGTCGATAGTTCTAATTTTCTTCCTGTTCAAATTTTGTCAATACAGGAGAAAGTCAAAATGATAAAAGAATATTACTCTTTAATTCTACTTTTTTTCTTAAATTGAAATTTATTTGTAGTGCAACAGTAACTACTTTTCTTATACTGTATTCTAAACAAATGATTATAAGTAAATGTTGCCAGGATAGGAGAAGCTATCTTTTTGTATTACATCCTCCTCATTAGATTTTTTTTTTCAATCTAAGGAATATGCCTGTGCTGAAAGAATTCTGTGTTTTGAGTTGAGGGAAGCTAAATTTGTTACTTTCTGTGCATTTTCACAAACTTAAATGGCTATTGGTGGTAGGTGTATTTTTAATGCCTCTTGTTACAACTAGGAATTTCTCACTGATAATTTTAGCTAATTACATCATTTATTCTGTACTTGATTTGGTCAAATTTTACTTGTCTTTCTAATGTTCTTTAATGCCTTTTTCATTCATTTAGTCATTTGAGTTTCTGCTCTTTCAATTTTTGTCCAAAGTTAGAAAATTTTTAAAGAGATTATAATTTTAAATTATCACAAAGACCCCTTTGGGTTAAGTAGTTATTTTTATTTTCCCATGAAGGTTGTACTTTACTAAACTTTATTTTTCCATCGCTTAATGTCTAGTTTTTAAAATATGAATCTCAAAACGAATGTTTATTATTTAGCTTGGATTAGCTTGTTAAAAAGAGCACAATTAGTAGAGAGAAATATACTGAATATATTGAATATTTACAATGAACTTTACTTGGCACAAGGCATACTGATGAGCCAGATAGTATTTCCATGATAAACCAGTTGAAATATTTTCTGTGACTTACCAGTCAATAAAATAACAAGCCAGATGAGTTAAGCAACAGGATTGACTAATTTCTTTTTTCTCTGAAGTAATATTTTTTTCAACCAGTTCAATTAATTGAACCAGCATGGCATAATCAAACCTGTTATGTATTTAAGCATATTTAAGAATCTTTTCCCTCTATGTATGTGCTAATTTGGCTAATAACATTAACTGATGACATTGATAGGGACTGTTTGCTAAAAATAGAAACCTAGAGAAATAGCAGTTTGAAGGAAATTGAGGGCTAATAATTACATTTCTTGGAAGGGAAAAGACATAGGTACCCTAGGTAGGCAATGCTGGTAATAATTCAGGCAGAATAAAATATTCCCCTGGTCATTACCTCACACTTCAGGTGTATCTATTTTAAAATGTGCTTGTAACCATTAACTGCTACTATTTCCTTCCTTCCTTTTTGTTTGGGGAGAAGAAGGGTAGGTACTAACCAGGAAAAATTATCTTTAGTTCTGTAGATGGTAAAAGTAAAGAAGAAAAGTCCTCAAAATAGAATAGTGACTCCACGAGAGAGGGAAGACAATAAAAATTTAAGTTTGATTATGTTTACATGCTTATGTTTTTAGAACTTGATTTTAAGTTCATTTACAGTGTTAGGATATTTAAAAGAAAGAAAGCTATTAGAGCATTTTAAAAGTATACTGAATGTTAGTTTTTCTCTCACGGTGTATCTGTTTAAAAGAATTGGAAAATAATATTCTTTTAAATGAATGTTTTCTTTGCTACATTTCTATTATGGTAAAATTTTGGTCAGATTTATTGTTTAGCATCATCTGTATTTAAAACCAAGATGTCCTGACAGAGGAAAACAGTTATAAACAGAGTCACATCACAGTGATTGTATGTATGTATTGTTGAGTCTGCCATTCAAGGATTTGTTGTAGAGGCATGAAATGCATCCTTAGAAATAAAATAATTATTTATTTCCTTGGGATTTATGGTATTCATCAGTACAGGTGACTCCTATGATTACCTATATAATCTCAGAATTTTCCATTGCCTCAAGTTTTGTTTCTAAAAGACAGGAATAGTTGAACTGGACCCTATGCCAAAATTAGCATAGTAAAACATAATCTTTACTGTGTAATTTTATAATATCTTACAATTCTTCAATTAACATGTAAAACTTCTGACCTTTTTTAAAATATCATATAAGGTGGAATATTGTAAACTCCCAAATTACATTATCATTCCTTTTCCCTTTCTCTCTCTCTTTCTTTAATTTCTACTTCACTACATTAAAATTTAACTGTCATTTTGGTAGGATGTGTGATTTCAAGCTATTAAGGTGAGCTGTGTAACAGGGAAGGTCAAAACCATGAACTGAGTCCTAAATTATGTAGCCTACCCCAGTGACTTACATTGTACTTTCCATTGTATTTATGCTTGGCTTTTTAAACAAATTTTGTTTATCTGTACAAAAGTATTGTCACAATATAAAATAGTTGTAATATGCCACTTTTTGAGTGTCTAGCAATGCATATTAAAACAATAGAACTGTGAGTCTATATAAATATGCTAAGAGAGTTTTCATACTGGCTAAAATGGCAACATCTTGTCATGTGAAGATACAGTTCATTTGTGATCATTATTTTTGTGTTTGTGATTACATTAAAATTTTATTTTTAATATGTTAATTGTATACATAGCTAATCATTAAGATCTGTAAGATAAACATAAAACTTGTGAATTTTAGTTTCACTTCAGGATAATTTCACAAACCACTAGATTATTTTCAAATGCTGTGAAGCTTGGAATTGGGAGTGCTCTTAAGTTAATGCATCCTCATGTACTGCTTAATTCCGTATGTATATTATCTTAACTTCTTAACTTTAAGAAAATAACCTCCTATTTAATACTTAAATACAGGCCTGAAAATGAGATCTATATATGCAACTAAAGATTATTTTAAATGATAGATAAATGTGTGTGCCTATGAATGGTGAAATGATTGTGTTACATAATTACCATACTTTTGATGATATACCATAAACTGGCTTTGAGAAGACAGCTATGCTTATTTTGACAGAAAAAAAGTACATTTTTCTAGCAAATACTCTCGTATTGGCCTTTCATACTCCCACTTTTGTAACCTTTTCTGAGCATCTGTAACATTTTACTAACCTAGAAATATGGTTTATCTTTTTTGGGAGAAGATCTGAAATAGCTTTCTCATACATCAATCAGGATGTGAGTGAGCTAATTCTTTTCAGAGTTACTCATCATTATTGTTCTTTTAAAGGTGGAATTCTGACAAAGTTAATTTAATTTAAATAAGTTTCTAACTGTGAGATAAGTCTTCCCATTTTGAAACACTGCATGGTATTTTTGCTTTATAAATAGTATTTCAGTGGTTATACCATAGATTAAGGTGAGTTGGGAGTGAAGTGGAAACCTTTACCATACTATTTGTTTTTGGAGATTGAAGGAATATCCATGTACTAAATAACATGTTTCTTGATTTCAGCCAAGTTCAAAAACTTTGCAGAAATAGATAATTTTAAAATGATAACTATGTGTCATTGTTGTTGTTGTTGTTGTTTTGTGTGTTGTTTGTGTGCGTATGTATTTTCTTTTTCATTTTAACTAGCCTCTTATACCTAGAAGTCCCACAAGCAGCGTTGCCACGCCTTCCAGCACCATCAGTACACCCACCAAAAGAGACAGTTCTGCCCTCCAGGATCTCTACATTCCCCCTCCTCCTGCAGAACCATATATTCCCAGGTATAAAACTATCACGTTGTCCTAGGCAGCTTCTAGCTAAAGGTAAACTTAACAGCATATAAACTGCAAAGTCAATTCTCAAGGAACACCTTGAATATTTTCTCACAGTTAGGAATTCTGAACACATTCTGCAAAATCATTCCCATTATAGAGAATGCATATTGGTTAATAGTAATAATGACTAATTTGTATATAAATACTTGCTGTGCATTAAGTATTTTATACTATCTCATAATAGGAAAGAAGAAGAAAGTAATAATAAATAACAATTAGGATTTTTTTAATAAGCAAAGGATAAGTGAGGTTCTTTGGCTAAAAAGCCCCAGAAATTTTCTGGTTACTTTGAAGCATTTCATACATTAAAAAAAAAAAAAAGCATGCTATAGATGACTTTTATGCTTTCTTAAATGTAAGTAATGAGGAAGATATTATTTGATAATGATTATGAGGGAGATTGTCTTTTTTCCCCTAATAGTCCTGTATCTGAAATTTTTATTTCATTAATTAATTAATGTTTCTTTCAGGAAGTAGAGTTTACAAGGGAATGAATTACTCTTAAAGTCTATTTTCTAGATTTCTTGAGGCTGTATCTCTATTTCATTTATTGATTCTTATCTGAAATTCCTTGCAGATGTAGAAGAATACAGCTTTATGTCATAATGCATTCTTCCTAAAAGCATTCTAATATCCAGCCTTGTGAAATACAAAAATTGTGGAAAAGGACTAGCACTAAATGGGGATCATTAATACCAATCACAAAAAACTTGATTCAATTTTTAAGTTAGTTCTGCATTCAAAAACAATAATTTAAGGTCTCTTGTTTCCAAGCCATAATTAGTATTAAATTTCTTTCATATATAAAAGAACTGAATTCCCTGTGTTTAATTTCCATTATTCTTTAGTACACTTAGTGTTTCAGAAATCTATATTCTATTAGACATGATGGTTTACTGACATTATATGATCTAAATGCTGCATGGCAATATGGTTTATCTGCAAATACCATGTTGTCATCTAGTAATATAACTATAGTCAGTTTTATGTATATTTTAGTTCTTTGAGAATTAACTATAGCCATTGGAACATGACTTATAAGATATAGTTTACTAAGCTGACATTTCATAAATCTAATATATAATTTACAATCTTTTGTAAATTATTACAAGCAAATATACAAATCCATCCAGTATCCTAGTAAAATGCAAGTTGCATTTTAATTCTATTAAGACAGTATCAGATTTTCCACATACTCTTGCATGAGGAGCAGTGAAAGTATGTGTGTTCCAAACAGAAAGTGACTTTTTATGATTTGTTTACATTTTAATTGGAAAGATTTTTATTTCAGTGCAAATAATTATTTAAAAGGCCTTATTCTTCAGAGGTCTACATATACAGATAAACATCAAAAGATTATTTTTATCAAATCTCTGTAGTTTTAAAATGTTCTTTCCTCTTCAGTGGTGAGGAGCTTGTTACAAAGAAAGTGTCTCCTCTACAGAAAATATTTAAAATACATTTAAGAGGACAAAAGAGTAAAATGATCCAGTTCTGTCTTCTGAGTGTGATGGACATATTATAAAGGCTCTATACTGAAGCCAATAAAAAGCTTGAAAATGCTCTTTTAAAATATTAGAGAATGTGAAATTGAAATATCAACATAGTGACCCTTGTTTTGTCAGTATTGCTTGAAAGCTCCATACTTTTCCGTAAAATTCATAGTGTTTACTGTATTGCCATAAGTGATTCTTAGTTGGTCAGTGTATAATTTAACAGAATATTCTAAATACATTTTGAGTCAAATTGTTACTTAACCAGTCATAAAATCTTTCAATATAGGAGTCAGAACAATCCATGCATCAAAGCCCCTTTGAACCACAGCCTTATATAAGTGTCTGCATTTTCTGGCTTGATGTTAAGTTGACAGTCAAAACTTTTTGCATTTGTGATTATTTTTATAGATACAGCCTTGGCAATTTTTTCCCCATTTTCTCATTTTGAAGATGAATGTTGCGAACCTAGTTTAATTCTTCTGAACATTTTCCCCCATATTAAAAAACTTTGTTTATAAAGGATAGGCATTTTGGTGGTATGTGAACATATATGTTTGATTTGGATTGCAAATAATAAAACCTCTCTCATCTCAAAAAGAAAATAGACTTGAAAAATGATAGGACTAGTTTTCAAGTTAGACAGAATATTTTTCATGTGGTTACAATTTTTTGAACACATTTATTCCAGAAAAAAAGTTATTGCAAAAGTGCCTTTCTCTCTAAAAGATAAAACACTCGTTTGTGAAATGAGTGAAATTTGGCTGGCATTTTATTATATGTCTTATGACTATACACAGTTTCATTATCATTATATATAGTACATTTCTATACTTAACCAAATTTCTTTTTCTATGATGAAAATGAAGAATTTATAGGTCTTTGAGCAACTATGACATTTAAGCACTAATTTCTCTTATTAACTCTACTGTGTGCCATTAAATATAAAGTTAGTTCAGCAAATCAATGCTCTTTTAATTCTTCCTTAAATCCTTTCTAGAGCAAAGGCACAGATTTATTACTTATGTGCATAAACATACAACATTAAGAAAGGTGTAAAAACTCTTTACATCAGAATGAATTAACACATTGAATTCTCCAGGGACTCATGACATGAATATGTACATTAACACACACACACACATACACATACACACATTTACATACACAATACATGTATCTACTCATTCTACTGAAAAGTTTGGTTTTGCTTGGTACTTTTCTCAATTCAACAGTATTTTACTGCATTCTATATAGATTTGTTTTAAAAATCTACCCTGTTGATATAAGGTCCCTCCCTCATGTTATTATACAGTAGGAAATACCATCCCTTTCAATTTCCTGCCACAAGATGTTTCCATATAAATATAGCATGGTGTATTAATAAGGCTAAATCACCCTCTGATTTCAGCTGCATTAACATTCATGTCACAAGCTTCATAGCGCGAGGTCTGTTCATTTACAGATAGGCATAACCTTACTCCAGTGCCACAAATTCGTTAGGGCTGCTTCCAAGCTAGTTGCAGCGTCAATTTCTTTTTGATAGTGGACTAACCAGGCAATTTGTTCAGGAAAAGTTTTCAGCAAGCCGAAATAAAATTCTGCCTGGATTTTATATTTATTTCCTTCATGTTGCCTAAGAACTATTTATTTAGTTCTATTTTGGTAATAAGCAATACTTTTATTTTAGAAAATAAAAGAGTAAATGGTAATGTAAATGGCAACAACACCTTGTGATGGGTTAAACAGATAAGAAAACTCACTGATTGTCAGTCTGGAGAATGTTGTAAGAAAACTCACTGATTGTCAGTCTGGAGAATGTTGTTTGCTACTTTCTACATATTTCAAATACTGGGAATATAGTTTTCTACATTTGGACAAACCTAATCTAAACATTTACACACAGAAGCAGAAATACAGGCTTTTACCAGACTGGGGCTCATATTTTAGAATTCACATTACTTTTATAAGCTCATCACCCTTTTAAAAGGTATAATAGGAATTAATTTAAAAATTGTTCTTTTTATCTGTCTTGTTATAATTTAGTTTATTCTATGAATTTAAGATTTTAGTCTTATCACTTAACATAAAATTAAATTATTTTTCTTGTTTGACAGCATTTATTCATGGCACTGTTTAGGGTAACCAGAAACAATTAAGAAAAGGGAAGAAATTTAACTAATGGTCCACAAGGGGAGAAACATTGCATTTACATTCATAGTCATGTTCTAGAAGACAAACTTTCCTGACAAAAAGTTCATAGGTAATCAGTGAAACATTTCATAAAATAAACAAGATTCAATTTAACAAATAGCAAATGAACTATTTCTATCAAAATAGTTTTGGGGCTTAATTTACCTATTACAGTGTGTGAGTAACAGGTTTTAGGGAGCTCATAAATTATTAGAGATATTTTTCTCTAGAATCCTATAGAAGAAAAAAATCAACTTGCCATCACCCTAATTCCATTCTTAAACTCCGTATTTTATCAAATTATTTTACCTTCTCTCCTCAAGAAACATTGATGTATAATGAAATTTTGATATATTCATTTAGAATGAGTTCTAGGAATATGTCTTTTTACTCTTAAATGAGATCCGTAGAGTTTGAATACTGAGAATAATTCTTTTTATTAAGGTTTATTTAAAATTAATTACATGTTGTGTGAATTTCTTATAATACTAGTTTATATCATGCTAATTTGGTTCCTAAGGCTACAGTGCTCCTTATGATAGTTCTTAAACACATCTTTATTTTTAAGCAGTGCAAATTTTTACCAAGAATCAATTAGGTAAACTGACAGAAGAAAACATTATACTTTAGTTAACATTACTACCATTATACCTATTGTCTTGAACACTATAAACAATTTATGTGCTAAGGTAAACTGGCAGAAGAAAGCATTATACTTAAGTTAACATTATTACTGTTATACCTACTGTCTTAAACGCTAAAAGCAATTTATATGCAAAGGTAAACTGGCAGAAGAAAGCTATATACTTAAGTTAACTTTACTAGCATTATACCTACTCTCTTGAACACTGAAAGCAATTTATGTATGACATGGTACGGTGAAAAATGGACTTGGGCAACAGTAAAATGTTTCATGGCCTATTTCAAATTCTGTCAGTTGTTAGCTGTGTAACATTGAGGCAAGTTGTTTAGCCTTTCTGAGACTCACCATTTTGTTTTCAGCAAAATAAGAATAATTACAAATTGCCCTATAAATCTCAAAGAAAGTTTGGAAAGGTCAGGAGATATATTGTGTGGGAATAAATTATTAGTATTTTAGACCCTCGGCCATTTACTACCCTAACATGTTTCTACATCCTTCTCCTTGACTCTAACCTTTCTTTAGGGATGAAAAAGGAAACCTTCCTTGTGAAGACCTCAGAGGACATATGGTGGGCAAGCCAGTGCATAAGGGATCTGAATCACCAAATTCATTTCTGGATCAGGAATATCGAAAGAGATTTAATATTGTCGAAGAAGATACTGTCTTATATTGCTATGAATATGAAAAAGGAAGATCAAGTAGTCAAGGAAGACGAGAAAGCACCCCAACTTATGGTAAGAGTTCTTCTCTTATGTTTATGTAAGAATATATTTCTGGCATGGGAATCTCAATTTCCTTTAATAAGTTTTCGGGTTGTGAAAGTTACTTAGGAGCTTTTGAATCTTTATAATTGATCTGTCTCTCTCATGTGCTTCTAAGTGGAATTTCTACATGATATGAGACATGATATTAAACATTATTCTAGATTTTCAAAAGATAAGAAAGAACAGTAGGTAACATTTTAGTTCATAATGATTTATAAATATCTTTTTAGCATCACATGTACTTCTTGTGTGTTAGATGTTGCCAGTTTGGAAAAATTCAACTGTTTTTTTTTTTTCTTTTCTGTTTTTTCAATGAATACTTACTGTTAACATGACTTATTTAAAATAAAATTAACTCCATTTCCTCAGGGATTTTAAGAAATATAATTTTCTAGGGAAATTCTCACCTCAGTTTTTGTATTTTTTAAAGAATCTGTAAAATTTATTTGACATTAGAGTGGAAGTGGATTTTAAATAGAACGGATTGAACATACTGTATTTAAGGCAAAAATGGACCTAGAGTTATGATGGGCACAGGATTGTTTTAATCTTTGATTCTTGACCAAAAAAGTAACCCAGTCACAAATACTTAAAATTGTTATAGTATATCTGAAAGATTTGCAGATACAGTTGCTTAAAGTAGTAAAGCTTGTGGTTCTTTTGCAAGAATGAATGGATTTAGTTGAAAGTCTCTGCTCCTCCCTTTCCACTTTTCAAATTAATCATTTTTAGTGAGGAGCTTATACTTTGAGGAAGGACAGCATCCTTGCTAATTAGTTCAAACTTGATCAATGGGAGCTGAGCAGAAGCAAAGTTGTTTTTAGCTCTTCCTTTCTATTCATACCCCTCACTTGTCTGTCATGGCCATATACCTCCCTCTTTTGGTCTCAAAAGAGCAGTCATCACATGTCTTCATATACATGTCTTATTTCCTTTCAGCAATTTGATAATAAGTATGAAAGAAAAATTTTCCCCAAAATGATCCTAAATAGTAGAAGCCATACTTATCTTACTTTGTGTTATTCTCTGTACATGTGCTTTTTAATCATAAGAATAAATAATATATTTTAACATAAACTTCTCAACTATACTACTCTAGTGGCAATTAAACTGCTAAGTATTGAAGATATTTGAACCTTTACTTTTCTCCTCTACTATATTGTAAACCTATAATATAGAGTATAGAGGCCTGTAATCTTTGCTATCCCTACCTTTGCCCCATGAAATAATATGAAATTTTTATTCTTATTCATTCATTCCACACATACTAATTGACTGCCTATTACTGGATAGGCAGTAATGTATATCAACTCTTCTTTGTTTGTGTCCCAGTATTATCTGGCTATTTTCTACTTATGTTGAAGTAAGTAATTAGTGTTTAAGAGAAATTATAGTCACCAAATGAAAGTGATTGATTACTGATGACTTTATTTTAAAAAATGTTTACTAAGTTCTTACTTGAATGGCTATAAATTGGTTGTCCCTTCGGACTACAGTTTAAAGCACCTAATGCCATCATGTGCCACAAATCTCCCCTGACTAAAATAGAATACTTTTTAAATATTAGAAAATTTAGATAGCCTATAAATACTTGATATCTTTTTGTAAACAACTTAGGAGAAAAGAAATATATACATACTTAAAAGAGAGAAGTAAGCAGAGTTATTTGTTTCCTTCAGTATTGTTTTCAACTTTTAAAAATTGACACATAATAATTGTACATATTTATGGGATACAGAGTGATATTTTGATACATGTATACAGTGGGTAATGATCGAATCAGGGTAATTAGCATATTCTTCACTTTAAACATTTATCACTTCTTTGTTCTGGGAACATTCGAAATCTTCTCTTCTAGCTATTAGAAATTATATAATAAATTATTGTTAACTATAGCCATCCTATAGCACTATAGAATACCAGAGCTTACTTCTCTCATGTAGCTGTAATTTTATATCTATTAACCAGTCTCTTCAAAATCCCTCTCTCACTCACCCCTCCCCTTCTCAGCCTCCAGTAACCACAGTTCTACTCTCTATGAGCTCAAAGTTTTTAGTTCCCACTTGTGAATGCAAACATGCAGTATTTATCTTTCTGGGCCTGACGTATTTTACTTAACATAATATCTTCCAGGTTCATTCATGTTGCAGCAAATGACAAGATTTCATTCTTTTTTAGAGCTGAATAATATTCATATATATATATATATATATCATGTTTTCTTTATCCATTAATCTGTTGATAGACATATAGGTTAATTTTCATATCTTAGCTACTGTGAATAATGCTGCAATAAACATGGGAGTACAGATATCTCTTTGACATACTGATTTCCTTTCCTTTGGACATATACCCAGTAATGTGAATGCTGAATCATATGGTAGTCCTGTTTTTAGTTTTTTAAAGACTCTTCATACTAATTACTATAATGATGGTACCAATTTACATTCTCATCAATATTGTATAAGAGCTCCTTTTTCTCCGAATCATTGCCAGCATTTCTTAATTTTTGTCTTTTTGATAATAACCATTCTAACTGGGGTGAGATGATATCTCTTTGTGGTTTTAGTTTGCATTTCCCTAATGATAAATGACATTAAGCATTTTTATATACCACTTGGTCATTTGTGTCTGCTTTCATGAAATGTCTATTCAGATCATTTGCCTATTTTTAAATAAAAATATTTCTTTTATTGCTGTTGAGTGGTTTGAGTTCCTTGCATATTCTGGATATCAGTTCCCTGTCAGATGAATTGTTTCCTTTGCTCTACATAAGATTTTTAGTTTGATATAATCCCATCTGTCTGTTTTTTTCTTTTGTTGCTTGTAAGCCTTAGCCATAAAAATATTTGCCTAGACCAATGTCCTGAAGTATTTCCCCTGTGTTGTCTTCTAGTAGTTTTATGGTTTGGGGTCTTATATTCAAGCGTTTAATCCATTTTGAGTTGATTTTGTACATGGTGAGAGATAGGGTTCTAGTTTCATTTTTCTGAGTATGGATATCCAGTTTTCCCAACCCTATTTATTGAAGAGGCTATCCTTTCCCCAGTGTGTATTCTTATTGCCTTTGTCAAAAATCACTTGACTTATTTCTGAATTCTCCATTCAAATAATTCTCCAATCAAATAATTGGGCTATGTGTCTGTTTTTATACCAGTACAATGCTGATTTGGTTATTACAGCTTTGTAGTATAATTTGAAGTCAGTCAGTGTGATGCCTTCAGCTTTGTTCTTTTTGTTCACAAATGCTTTGGCTATTTGGGGTATTTTATGGTTCCATACAAATTTTGGAGTTTTTTTTCTATTTTTGTGAAGCATGTCGTGGGTATTTTGACAGGGATTCCACTGAATCTGTAGGTTGCTTTGGGTAGTATAGTCATTTTGACAATATTAATTTTTCTTATCTATGAAAATGTGATGTCTTTCCATTTTTTGTGTTCTCTTCAGTTTCTTTCATCAGTGTTTTGTAGTTTTCATTGTAGAGATCTTTCACTTCCTTGGTTAACTTTCTTTCTTAGTATTTTTGTAGCTATTATAAAGGGGATTGCATTCTTGATTTTTTTCAGATAGTTTGTTAATGGCATGTAGAAACACTACTGACTTTTGTATGTTGATTTTGTATACCGCAACTTCTGAAGTTGTTAATCAGTTCTAAGAGTTTTGTTGTGGAGTCTTTAGGTTTTTCTATATATAAGAACATGTTGTCTGCAAACAGGAACAATTTGACTTTCTTGTTTTCAATTTGAATGCCCTTTATTTCTTTATCTTATCTAATTTCTCTGGCTAGCACTTCTAGTATGTTAAATAGGAGTTGTGAAAATGCTCATCCTTGTCTTGTTCCAGTTTTTAGAGAAAAAGCTTTCCACTTTTCTCCATTCAATATAATGTTAGCTGTGGGTTTGTCATATCTGGCCTCTATTGTGTTGAGGTGTATTGCTTTCTATACCTACTTTGTTGAGAGTTTTTATCATGAAGGGATGTTGAATTTTATTAAGTGGCTTTTTTTGTGTATCTATTGAGATGTTTATATGGTTTTTGTCTTCATTCTGTTGATGTATCACATTTATTGATTTGCATATGTTGAACCATCCTTGCATCTCTGGGATAAATCTCTTTTGATAATGGTATACAATGTTTTTCATGTATTGTTAGATTTCATTTTCTGAGAAGTTTTGCATCCATGTTCATGAGGGATATTTTTTGGTCTGTAGTTTCTTCTTTAGTTTTGTTCTTGTTGGATTTTAGTAGTACCGTACTGTTGGCCTCATAGAGTGAGTTTGGAAGAATTTCCTGCTGTACTATTTTTTCAGATAGTTTGAGAATAATTGGTATAAGTTATTCTTTAAAAGTTTGGTAGAATTCAGCAATGAAGCCAACAATGAAGTCATCTGGTCCCGGACTTTTCTGTGTTGGGATCATTTTTATTACTGATTCAATCTCATTACTAGATAGTGATCTGTTCAGTTTTTTTTTTATTTCTCCTTGAGTCAATCTTGATACATTATAAGAGTCCAGGAATTTATCCATTTTCTCTAGGTTTTCTAATTTGTTGGCTTATAGTTGTTCAGAATAGTCTCTTATATTCCTTTCCATTATTGTGGTATCAGCTGCGAAGTTTCCTTTTTATGTCTGACTTTATTTGGGTAATCTCTGTTCTTAGTCTAGCCAATAGTTTGTTTACCCTTCAGAAAACCAACTTTTCATTTTGTTTGTCTTCTGTAGGTTGTTTTTTTTCTTTTTTTGTCACTTTCATTTAGTTCTTCTCTGATCTTTGTTATTTCTTTTCTTTCACTAATTTTGAGTTTATTTTTGCTTTTCCAATTTCTTTTTTTCCTAATTTTTTGAAGTGCAATGTTAGATTGTTTATTTGAAATCTTTCTGCTTTTTTGATGTAGGCATTTCTTGCTATAAACTTCTTTCTTAGTATTGCTTTTGCTGTATCCCATATGTTTTTGTATATTGTATTTCTG